GGGGGGTGGCGGGGGGCCTCACCATCGTTGTGTTTCTCACAGCTCTTCCAGAAGCCTGTGTGGAAGTATCTGAAGGCGTACTTGTCCTCCCCCGTCTCCCAGATGTACTGCACCGCGTTGGCCAGCTGTCGCTGCCTGATCCGGGCCAGCTCCTCTCTCCGGGCCGGGGGCAGGGTGGGCTTCAGAGGGTTCTGAGTCTGACTCTCTGTGACACAGACACAACAGACAGCCTTTATCTCTCTGTCAGCAGTACTGACGCTCCCCCCAAAACACACACACACTTTTCCAGGGAAATCAGCTGGATAAAGTCAACTCCTTTCTGAGCTGGTTATTCCTCTTCTGACCAGAAGGTGTCACTCTATTTGAACTCTTCATCTTTCTTCTATGGTTGTCTGATGTTGTTATTGACAAAGTCAGGGTTTAACCCCGCCTCCGCCTGACAACTGCTGTGATTGGCTGAATGACTTTCTCAGTACAGTTCCACTTAAATTCCACTTGTTACCAAAACTAACTAACTAACTAACTAACTAACTAACTAACTAACTACTCATTCACACAAGTGTTGGGCTGGTGACGGAGGAAGGGGCGTGGCCTGTTCGTACCTGTGGTGTAAGGCTCGCTGTCGTTCTGGCCACAGTTCTTCATTTTGACCGGCGACAGACACAGAGGCTTCACCACCTTGTGAATCCCCTCACACCAGTAGGAGGTGCTCAAGGCCAGGACAGAGAGGCCCAGAGCCAGAGAGGTCAGAGTCAGGGAGAGAAGGGAGCGGGATCGACGAGACATCCGCTCCAGCATGGCCACATGGGAGACGGGTGAGGCAGGGGGTGAACGTACGTGAGGAAGAGAACGAGCAGGAGGAAGAGTGAACCAGGAAGTGGGACGGAAAGAACCGATGGCATTAAAACAGTTCCAGAGTCACAGAGTCAACGGGGATTCAACGGTGACAAACTGATGATGAAGTCATGGTGGAGGAAAACACCGGAAAGAAGAGCCGGGAGGGAGGGGGGGAGAACGGGTTCTGGTGCCACCTGGACCTACGAGTCCCTGGGATGGACAGACGTGTGGGTCGGTCCTTCTGACGTCCAGACGTGACGACGGTGATCCATCACGGACATCATTCAGGCTGAGTATTAACGAGACACGTCATTAACCAATCAGAAGACAACTGGCATCCAATCAGCTGTGACTTCCATGGACAGAACCGTCTGTTACTCAGTGACCCCCAGCCCCCGGTGGACCCTTCTGTTACACCCTCAGTTTTGAACTCTCACCGCCCCCCCCCCCCCCCCCGCTGGGAGACGACCAGGGAGCAGAGATTAGTTCTAGATGAAATGATGGACAAACCACATAAATTACATTTTTGCACCTAATCCCTGATAATCTGCTCCTTTGTGTTCGTGTTAGTCGTTTTAGATTTAAATGTTGAGGTTGACCCCCCCCCCGACCCCCCCGACTCCTTTGCAAAGCCGACTGTCAGTGACCCTGAGACACCAAAGAAAAGAACGGTACCGATGAATCCGGTCCGGTCTAATCCTGGTCTTAATGTTGTTTCCCTGTTCTTCTGTTTGTCACCGTTAGAACATTAAAGCAGGAAACTACAAAATACTTCAACAACCAAACCTGGTTGACCCTCCTAACCACCAGCACGCTACCACAAACACAAAGCCATTAGATTAGCCTTTGTTAGCATCAGGAGGCTAATGAGTGATTTAATGAAAAGGCTACAGCAACATGTCAGTGTCTGTCCACCTACCAATACGTTTGTGGAGTTCACTCTTCGTCGTTGCTCCTCCGTCATCAGCGCCTCACCGAGACCGTCGTCTCCGTTGGTCCACGTTGAACAGACTTCCTGTCTGCCCTCTGTCATCGTCCCTCTGCTCTGACTCTCTTCACAGATTTTCTTCCTGAAGGATGAGCATCACTGACCCAAGTCGCTGCAGCTGCACTCCCCCTTTAATCCTGCCGACCAATGGGCGGCAGGATTGCGATGCACGGAGACGAGAGAGGACGTGTCAGCCTCCGTGCCGCTCTCCTCGTGTTTCTGTCTTATTTGGGAATTCCCGTCCCTGACTTCTGTGTCCAACCTCAAATCTTCACAAAAACATTTGGTTTTCAAATCCCACGACTCAGACACTCAAAGCTGTGAACCTGTTGTGACCTAACAGAGCTCAGCCCATCAGCACCTCCTGCTGTGACCAGGAAACACCCGGAAACACCCGGAAACACACGGAGCCCAGAGTGAAGACAACAGCACAGCTATAGAATGTCACAATCATTTATTTACACTTTATGTACAAAATGTTAATGGAATAAAAACAAAGAAGCAAAGATGACGTGGTGTGCATGTCTGGTTGATAAATTATTAGTAGTAACTAGTAACATAAACGACGGTGAGTTCAACCCCAGGCCTGGGATTTACAGTAATGAAGGACCAACTTTCCATCACTGCCAAAACACTGGAAGACACAGAGACAGTGAAGAACAGTCAACGTCACAGACTGTCAGCGTCCTGAGTCACTGCTCAGACACGGGTCCATACAACACAACGTCAATGTCGTGTCAAATGTCTCTTTAATTTGACCTTTAACCTCAGCCGTCAAGCCGACTTCTCCACAGCTGAACTTCATCATTCTGCTGTTTCTTGCCATCAATGCAGGATTAAATATCTGCTCCCATTTATGACTTTAAAGGCATTAAGCTGCCATGGTTTTAAGTCTTTCTTACTGACCCATGACCTACTGCCCCCTCTGCTGGTTAGTGCCCTACATGACCTTTAGATTTTGTGGCAGCCAAAATGTGCCTTTTTAAACGAACTAAAAACTCTTTTGTGAAGAAGCCAAATAAAGTCAACATATATTTCACATCAACATACACTCATGTCTCTAAACCTGGGTACTGGGTTCAGTAAATTACTGAATTACCTCGTTATTTAAATTACAACTTTATTAAAAAATGTAACTGTTGCTTTAATTTTAATTGGCATATTAAGAGTGTTTCTAATTACAAAAAACCTTTTTAGTTTTTTAGTGTTCAGTACAAATAAAGAATATATTTATAGTTGTATATATTTGTAATATAACTGTGGTTATAACAAATAAAAAAACTTAAATCACGTAGTACTTACATCAAATAGGGCCCCGACTTCTTGATCAGGTGAAGGTGCGAAAGCCTGGTTAACGTAGATGAACTGGACAGAAATGAAGCCAGAATCAAATGAAATGACAGTAGGATTTATGGAAATACGTGAATGGGTTAAAACAAGCGGTTTGTCTTACCAGCTGTTCATTGGCATCAAGTTTGAGGAAACGAGAAATGAACTGAGACAGAGACTGAACCGTCCTGCCCCGGTCCACTGCCCACTTCTTTGTCTTCATTATAGGAGTGTCTCCCACTGCCTTCAACAGCACGTCGACTGTCAGAGGAGAGGATACATGTCTGAACGTCAACATTCTCCCTGCTTTTACAAACCCATTTAACGGAAGCTCGTTATTTTACTGACTTTAACTTTTGGTAAATAGGTGAATACGTTAGGTAGAACAACAATTACTGTCTTTCAACGTTAAAATACTAAGTATTTCACTTAGTATTTAGAACTTTAAGACTGTGGAAAAACAATATGGAGACTAAAAGCTTAACCCACAGTTTATGTGCCATTACTGTGTACTACTACAGTACGACGGGCCCAGGAGGGCGTACAATCACTTGGTACTTTACACAAATCCAACAGTAACGATAGAATGAATGCAAGTTCTCAGACGTCCGTTAATCCTTCCACGACTTTGCAAGGACGCACGACATTTTGTCTCCTTTTTAACTAATCCTGTCTTTGGTTTTATTGAAGTGATTGTAAGTTAGTACAAGTTGTCTGTTTATACATATAGTGTATATGGTTACTTATTTTGTATTTAGAATAATAACATAACGTTCAATATTTTCCTCCAAACTAACGTCTACATTTGAGAAAACGCTTGGTTTCATTATCCCCTGTTTACGCAGCCCCTAAAAACACTTATATAATCGTTTAATTATGCTAATAATTGAGATAAAGACATTTTCCCTATACAAATAAAAATATAAATTGGTTTGTAAACATTAGCCTTAGCGATAGTCACGCTACAACCCGGTAGTAGGCACGCGAAAAAGACGCAGTTTGATTGGTTCACCGACACTCACTCTTGTGCCAATTGGTCGACATCTCTGTCAGTCGTTTAAACGTCATAGAGTCAAAATGGTTTCCATATCCGTAAAAGTTCAAGTATTGCGGCTTGTGCAGTATGATATTAAATGTTTTCTTACTTTTTTTCTTCTCGTCATTCGCCGCCGAATCGTCTGTCGTGGGCCGAGAATCTTCTTTCTGTGGTTCCGTTGGAGACTCGGCGCTGTCAGACATCTTTAGGAAGTCGCTTCTACTCCGCTTTGTGCTTCCGGAGGCAACTGGCTGTGGAGTTGCCAACTACTATTGGTTCGGAGAAACGTCAATCAAAACTACGTGGTTTTTAACTGGCTAAATGTTGAGACAAGGCAAAAGGGGTGGGGCTTAAACAGGTTCGCAAAGCTTCAGTCGAGGTGAGTCGATGTTTTGAATATGTCACATTTGATTTTCAATGATTTTTTTTTAATCAAAGACTTAAATGCTGCTGGTGGATTAGATTATCTCCTCACATGTTTTAGAACTTTCCCACTGTCACTACTTTCCCTTAAATTCCACCTAATTCTGTCCGTGTCCTACAGGGGGCTCACATGGACATCGGACTGTAACCCGAATTAAAGTTTCAACTCATCACATTGGAACTTTCCAGAAACATTAGTAAGTTCGCTTTTCTCTGTCAAATACAGGTTATGTGAAGTGACAGGGGGTTAAATCGCGTACTAACCGATTAACGTCAGGTTCGAGTCCACTAGCTGGCAAGTTACCACTGAGGTGCTCTGACCATGGCACCGTCCCCATTCACTGCTCCCCGGGCTCTGAAAGCTGCCCCCTGCTGGCTGTGGTGATGGGTTAAAACAGAGGTCACATTTGGTCGTGTGTGCGGTGTCACGATGACAACTAGTTCACTCTCCTTCCTCCTAAATTAAAACAATTACATTTCAAAGTACTGACTGTAGGTGTCACTGTTGCAGTGGCGACCGTTGGCAGACTCTGCACTAAGGATGCAGTGCTGTTCCTGTGTGACATGCAGGAAAAGTTCAGACCCAACATCTTCCAGTTCACCAACATCGTCAGCAATGCAGCCAGACTGCTCCAGGTGTGTGTGTGTGTGTGTGTGTGTGCGTGTGTGTGTGTGTCATTCTGCCCATTACATTTTAATAATGTAACAATAATTTACGACTTCATCTAATAATTTGGTGTATCTGACTACTCTCCTCCCCCTCCCTCTCTCCCCCTCTGTCTCCCCCTCTGACCAACAGGCCAGTCGTGTTCTGGGGATCCCCCCCATCCTGACAGAGCAGTACCCTAAAGGTTTGGGTCCAACAGTACCAGAGCTCGGAGCTGAAGGTCTCGGTGCTCATGCTAAAACCTCCTTCACGATGCTGACTGAGGACGTGGAGAAGGAACTGCAGGCTCTGGGGAACCCCCGACAGGCCATACTGTGTGGAATAGAGGCTCACGCCTGCATCGCTGTAAGACCAGAGGGTCGTGAGGTCAAATGTTAATGAAAGGTTTCTTTCCAAACCGTAACAGTAACTTTACACCAACATGGCGGGACAGTACTATGACACCTTTGTCCACTGAATGTTAATATTTTAGTGTCATGTACTTGAGAGTGGACAACACTCTGGTTAATGAATATGTCTGTTGTCTACATAGTGCACGACCTTTGACCTGCTTGAAAAGGGAATGGAGGTTCATATCGTGGCTGACGCCGTTTCCTCCAGAAGGTACCAGTCTGGTGTTTATGGTACACAGTACACATTCTTCCAGTACTCACTCTGGTGTGACCGCAGGTCTCTGTGTCCCCCCCACCCCCCCCCCACCCCCACAGTCAGACCGACCGTCTGTTCGCTCTGTCCAGGCTGAAGCAGAGTGGAGCGTTCCTGACCACCACAGAGGCCGTGCTGCTGCAGCTGGTGCAGGACGCCAGACACCCCAACTTCAAGGAGGTGCTCACAACTCCTCAGTACTCCTCAGTACTCCTCAGTACTCCTCAGTACTCCTGTGTTACTGTAGTAGGACTGAGGAGGTGTGACAGTTTCATCTGAAGGGCCTCTCCATTATGAAGAGTTTTTCTGGACAGTATCAAAGTCAGGATTATTTAACAGGTTTATTGCAGTTAAATAAATAATAAAATACAATCAATACAAATGAAGTATCTAAAAAAACACAAAATACACATGACAACATAAATAACCCACAAATAATAAATAAAATACTCGGGTAGAAAGATGTAATAAATACATTCATATTTACCAAAGTCGGGCTGAGGTCGTCCACCACACGGTGGTGCTGTGGTGAAGCCAGATGATCAGACTCAGACATTTGTTTTCTTCCTCTGTTGTCGAGGCTGAAACTTTCAACAAATCGTTTCCCTTTTTTTATTGACAGATCCAGAAACTCCTGACGCACCCGTCCCCTGACACCAACCTCCTGGCCTTCTTCAGCACCCTGTAGACTCATGGTCCACGCTCATGGTCCACGCTCATGGTCCACGCTCATGGTTGACGCTCATGGTTGACGCTCATGGTCCACACTGTTACAATAAAACAGGAAACCATAAAGACGTGCTGTGTGTTTTCTTCTCATGGTTCTGAACGTGGTGTTTGGACAGAACGTCACTGTTTCAGGCTGTTTGTCTGCACTGACAGGACAGAGGAGGAGGAGGAGGAGGAGGAGGAGCCAGCTCAGCAGAGGCAGCTGTAAAAGTAGGAGGTGACAGAGGAGGAGGAGGAGGAGGAGGAGTGAATTACGTCATTCTGGTGAAGTCAGAAAGGGAGGGAGAGCAGGGAGAGAGAGAAAAAGGAAGCTCTCGGGTAACTTTGGTGTATTTTTCTCCAAAGATACACAAAGTTTGTGAGGCAGGAAGGGATTTGAGGCCCGGTGTTGACGGCGGCGGGGGGCAGGAGTCTGAGGGTCCTGGAGGAGAGCACTTTGTCTGCAGTCGTGCACAGCTGATGACAACATTAAATGTTGAGAGTGCGTGAGGCCTCGGGCCTGGACGGGCTCCACAGACACTAGGTGAGCAAGGCACTCCTTCTTAGGAAACAGAATCGAACTGGCAACCGCTGTGGCTCACACACTGTTAGTGGATCATTGAGAAGCAGCGAGTGTTTATCAGTGACCGTGGCACAAAGAACAGGAACTGCATGGCTGACAGTACCAAAGTACACACTGTACTGTAGTATTTCTCTGATTAAAGTAAACAAAAAGACATTCTGATCCAGTACGCCGTCTTCTGATCCTGGACAGAAAAGTGAGACGATGTCCTCAGACCTGGATTCTAGTCTTACCAGTATAGACTGGCTGCCCCGGCTGGGAATCAGCAGTCTACGCTCTGGAAAAGAGAGAGGAGCAGGAGGAGCAGGAGGAGGAGAGAGGCAGAAGAGGAAAGACAGTGTGAGGGAGAGGGGGGAGCTGCAGCCCCCTGTGCAGGAGCCCATTCCGTCCAACTCCAAAGGTAAACCCCCCCACAGCTATGCCACCCTCATTGCCATGGCGATATCAGCAGCTCCAGAGAAGAAGCTGAGTCTGAATGACATCTACACCTGGATCAGTGACACCTTCCCGTACTACAGCCGAGCGGGCCGCGGATGGAAGGTGATGTTCAGTCACATGACGTTCAGAGTGATGTCACACGTTGACACCTGTTTTATGAAGTGGTGATCTTTACATGAGCAGAACCTGTTGACCAGTACTAACTAGTGACACGTGTCGTCAACAGAACTCCATCAGACACAACCTGTCACTGAATAAATGCTTCAGAAAAGTCCCTCGACCACAGAGCGACCCCGGAAAGGTCAGTCACCGCTCACACGCTAAGCTAGTTCCACAGGCTACATGTTTAGCTAACGCTCTGACGGACTCAAACAACTGTTTTTCTAGGGTTCTTATTGGACCATGGATGGACCTGCAGAGGGCAGTCAAGCGAGGGCTCCAAAGCGTCCGTGTCCACAGGAGGACGAGGACAGTCCTCATGTACCTGCTGCTTTTTTCTTACTTGTTAACCTGTTAACCTGTTAACCTGTTAACTTCACTAGTTCAAAGAAATCTTTCTTAAGCCAATGCTGACGTGGGACTAGAACCCAGGTTGGTTCACCTCACAACTGTCAGGGGGTGGTTGTCGTCATCCAGAAAAAAAAAAGACCAATCAACCGAACCGCGTGAGCGCCCCCTGGTGCCTCGCTGCCTCTGTGCGGTGAACACCTCTCTGGCCTCTGCGTGACGCGACTCCCCCCGTTTAAAGTAACGGCAGCCGTTCAGGACGGGGCGGTCGAAGGTGTTAGATCGACATAAAGTTGAATTGTGTTTTTGAAATCCTTCTCCTTCTACTGTCGTCAGGCTCCTAAGATACTCAGGACCCCCGTGGACAGACGACCCTCCCCACATCAAAGCCACGCCCCGTCCTACTCAGACCTGGAGCCGAGCACAGATCCACTGAGAGCCATCAAGCAGCCCTCACCCCAGCCTGCCTCCCTCTCTCCCCCCCCATGCATCAAGGTGAGTCCAGTTTCACTGCCTGTGTTTCGGACTCTCTCTCCATCGATTCCATCCACAGATCAATTCATCAACATTTCATTTCATTTCATTTATTTTTTTGTTTCACAGCAAACATCAGCCTTCATGCCCAGTCCAGGCTCCTGTCTCCCTGTCCCTCACCCGTCTCCATCGACTCTGGCCTCTGTGGCCTCCATGAGTCCAGCTCCTCTCCTCCACCCACCTGGTCCTCCTCCTGCTGCACCTCCTGCTGCTCCCTCTTACCCCGTGGCCACACTGGCCTTTCCTGCCAACTCAGGATCTGGATCTGGATCTGGATCTGGATCAGGATCTGGATCCACCTTCTCTTCTGCTCCTAACATGACTTCAGTGTCCACCTGCACTGTGTTAGGACTGACTCACCCGACTCACCCGACTCACCCGACTCACCCCCTGCCGTCTGTTGCCTCATTGAACGTCACCGTTGACCCACCAATGCGTTTCACCTTCGATGACCTTCACCAGAGTTCACCAGACCTGTTTGAATCCTTCAAGTCGTTTGTCAAGACTGTACGTGAGCGAGGAGGCTCCCAGGGTGAGCAGACGTGTGTGTGTGTGTGTGTGTGTGTGTGTGTTGTTGATACAGTAACGATGAAAGAAGTTTGATGTTTTTTTGTCTACACCTCAGCTGATGGAGCTGCGTTAGCTCTGCCAACCAATGACATCACACCACTTCACACTCCGACCCTGCCGCCCATGTCTCCTCACCCTGCTCCACCTCCACCTCCAACCGCCGCCCCCCCAGCTCACCCACCTCCACAATACAGTGAGTTTTCAATGATGTGACAGAAACTCCGCCCTGGTTCACAGATTCCTTCATTTTCCCTCTCCTCCTCATCAGCGCTGCCGCCTGATTGGTTCAGCAACACCGATTCGCTGAAGGAGAGTTTTCGCATCGCCAGCAGTTTGGACTGGGCAAACATCGACCTCTCCAACCACCCAGGTTTGTACTGCAGTGACTTGGAACTCATCACCTGATCTCATTAATAAAATACTGTAATATATTCATGTATATTCATGTATATTAAGAAGTTGATTTAATGCGACCGCCGTGTTCGACGGCCGGCGCTCACTGCATGTTGAAACGCCGTTCTTCTGTCACAGATCTGCTGCAGAGCATGAGACAAGCAGAACTCTGTGACTGGGCTCTGGACCCTGCACTCTTCAACTCCCTCTGTGATTCTCTGAACCGCTTCTTCGCCCAGAAAGGCATGATCACCTCTGGAGGGGGCATGATCACCTCTGGTGGGGGCAGCTCCCCAGTGTCCCACGGTGGACTCAACTCCAATCCTCCTCCCACCCTGGCTAGTCTCACCCACCCCTCCCCACTCCCATATCCTCCAATGACTCACCCTGCCAACGGAGCGCAGCCCCCACGCAGAGCTCTGCACCTGCAGACACCTGCGCTCCAACGACAGCAGCAGCAGCAGCAGCAGCAGCAGCAGCAGCAGCAGCAGCAGCAGCAGCTAACACTCACTGCTAACACAACAGGTGAGAGAACTCTCCAGGTCATATTTCATTACATGAAATATCTCATATTAATATAATGAGGCACTACACCAGGGGGCGACAGTCAGTGAGGCTGTACAACTTTGGTTAGTCTCCATAGTAACATCATCAAAGTAAGTTGAAGTAACAAAGTTAACTACTGACCAGTGGCAGGAGTCCAGGTTCCTCCTTCATCTCCACTTTCTTCTTCTTCTGGCTCGGACTCTGGACCAAGGTACAGTCGGACTGTGGTTAGTTCTCTGCTGTCCTGTCAGATTACCATACCTGTCAGAATGACACGCACTGCATTGAAATCATTATAACGTATCGACCGACTTCTGTCAGTGGTCAAACATGAATCCACCCTCAGAGCTTCATCCTGAGGAGAAGGGGGCGGGGCTTTAAAGGTAAAGATGCAGAACTAGGGCTGTTAACCAGGCGTAACTAGTCCAGCTGTGGTTGTTCATTAACTGTAAACAGTACCAGTACCAGTTCCACATCCAGGAACCATCAGAACCTTGATGAAAGGAAAGGTTCTCTTTGAAGAAGACTCAACTCTTTCAGATGTGGATGAGAAGTTTTACTTTTACCCAGTCCATGTTTTCTTCTTCTTCTTCTGATCCCAGCTGGAGTACAGTCCCACGCCACCACCACAACTCGACAGCGCCCCCCATTAAAGAATCTGCACAGCAACAGTGAGGAGTTTCAGGACGACTTCGACTGGGACTCGCTGGTTTGACTCTCACCGAGACAAAGAGACAAAGAGACAAAGAGACAAAGAGACCAGACTCTTCAGTATCCTGTGGACTACGCTCTATGCAGACGATGCTGCGCTGCTGCAGGTTTGGGCTCATGTTGTATCACAAGACTAAATGCTGTACGTTAAGGATGTCATTTTTGTTCAAGCGTATTCAAATGCATTTGCTGTCATATCATTTTAATAGATTATTTTCTGCAGTTAAATATCAGGGTTTGATTGTTTGATTAACATAATAAAAATATAGTCCAAATGTTTTCTCTCGACTGAGGACGTTCTTCACACCAAGAATGAAACAAGTCAAACACAAGTCTTGTGTTTTTATTTTATTCCATAAATTTCTTTTGATTTTTTTTTTTTACCATTTTTCTTTGCAAATGTGAATGTTCACAGTCAACACCACACAAAAATCAACCGTACCCAATAAAAGATTTTTTTTTCTTGATATAAAATAAATTCATCTAAACTAAATTAAAACAACAGCATGGATCATGAGGTCGAGTCCCTGTCGTCGCTTTCATTCACTTAAATATCGTCTTTTTTTAAGAAGCATTCAGTAGCTCTGCAGGAAGGAGGGATGAAAGACAGGGGGCAGCAGTGAGGCGGGGGGTTGGGGGGTGAAATGTATGACCCACAAGAGGAGACCTAACGTCTTCTGGACAGACAGCAGCTGTGTGTGTGTGTGTGTGTCATGACAGAATGATTCAAACAGACGTGAACACAAACATTCACTACACGTCGTCAGACTGAAGCACACACACACACACACACACACACACACACACACATTCAGATTTTCTTTTTTTTCAGGAAAACAAAGACAATAATTGGTTTGATTGAAATGGCATCATGTTGGACTGACCTTTGACCCCCCACCGACCCCCCGACCCCCAACCACAAATAAATTACATTAAACATTAAATTAAAAGTGAAACTGTGGACCACGTTGTGCCTGAAATGTTACTGCAGGTGATCCAGTCTGTGATCCAGTCTGTGATCCGGTCTGTGTCTCAGTCTGTGATCCGGTCTGTGATCCGGTCTGTGATCCAGTCTGTGATCCAGTCCGCGATCCAGTCCGCGATCCAGTCCGCGATCCAGTCTGTGATCCAGTCTGCGATCCAGTCTGCGATCCAGTCTGCGATCCAGTCTGCGATCCAGTCTACGATCCGGTCTGTGATCCGGTCTGTGTCTCAGTCTGTGATCCGGTCTGTGTCTCAGTCAGTGATCCAGTCTGTGATCCAGTCCGCGATCCAGTCTGTGATCCAGTCCGCGATCCAGTCCGCGATCCAGTCCGCGATCCAGTCTGTGATCCAGTCCGCGATCCAGTCTGTGATCCAGTCCGCGATCCAGTCCGCGATCCAGTCCGCGATCCAGTCTGTGATCCAGTCTGTGATCCAGTCTACGATCCAGTCTGTGATCCGGTCTGTGTCTCAGTCTGTGATCCGGTCTGTGTCTCAGTCCAAACCCCTCCCTCACACACTCACTGATTCAGTGTTTGATATTATTTGCTCAGTTAGTGATCTACAGCTGTCCCATCACTCAGTCACTCATACTGGGCCTGGGCCCGTTCCTCTCTCTCTCTCTGTCTCTCTCTCTCTCTCTACCTCTTTGAAACAGTCTCTTTCTCTCTCACCTCCCACGCCCACCATCTCACCCCATAATGAGCCACAGTGAAAGGAGCTCAGAGGAAATGAAGGAGGACAATCGTCTTGAAATGATATAATGCTTTAACAGAAAAATAACTTTTTTTGTTGATGTTTTTTTTTTTTTTTTTGAAATATAGAGATGTGGAAGTTTTTTTGACACAAGTTGAGTTGAGAGGAGAGAACAGGGGGGGGGGGGGCAGGTACGACAGAGGAGGGGGACACTTCCTCAGAGAAGAAAAGGGTTGGTGCTCGCTCCCGTCGTTCCTCCGCCTCCCACCGACCCCCCGGCACCCATTACTCCTCCAGGTCCGGTCGCCCCCCCCAAAATCAGCTGAGGAGGCGCTGCACCCCCGGACCCCAACAGGCCCGGGCCTGGGGGCGCCATGGGTGAGAGACCGCTGTAGGACATGGCCATGGGACTGGGCTGCATCATCCCCAGGCCCATCCCAGGAGCCCCCATACCCACCCCCACTGACCCCACTGACCCCACTGACCCCAGGCCCATTCCTGGCTGCACCATGCCCAGCATGGGGTTGGGGGGCACGGGACTCGTGCGCAGGCTGCTCAGGCAGAGAGAGGAGGGCTGAGGTGAGATGGAGGTCATGGGCGGGGCCACTCCAAACGGGTTGGTGGAGGCGGGCGTGGGGGAGACCCCTCGACTGGAGAGGCTGGTGCCT